CAAAAGCTCTCACAAAGGAGGCCATTGATTGTTCTAAGTTTCCTGTCAACGCTATCTGCCGACGAAATGTTTCTAGCCCTCTAAGCCAAACTTCGAACAAAATTGCGCTTCTGTTTAAGTGGTATCAAAACTGCAGAAACTCGTATATTGCTCTTGCAAAGTTATCACCCGACAGACTTTCCTCTGAACGCTTCCGTCAGCCCGTATTACTTATGTGCTTTACATTTATCCCTTTTGAATATAAAAGTGCCGGCTCGACGCAAATTTATCAAAAGCAAACATGTGCTCCTGAACAAATTTTCTGAATGCTTCAATCTGGCAAGGATCTAACCAGATCTCCTGGATTGGCAGAAAGACGCTTTTAATAATTGGCAATTCACCTGAAAAATCAGTCGAAAAGGCCGAAAAGAAGGATGAAGAAAAAGAAAAACAATAGAAAAGACGAAGACCAAGGAAACATGTGCGAAGGGACAGAAGCATAAAAAAAGGAAAAATAAGAAGATAAAAGGACGGAGAGGAACGTATTATGAATAAAAAGCAAACAACGTGGTCTGGGATTTCGAGTTACAGGGTTGTAAATCTTCTGGATACGAGGTTGCAACCCCATGTCCACGTTGAATCTACTATTTTCAAGCAAAAGTTTTTGGTATGCGCCATTTTCTATGAATCAAAACTATCTGATTCTTTGAGGACGAGAAAATTGGCTTGGGATTTCTTCGCGACCCCACGTCTCGGCTTCAAGCGGTTTCCGCCAAAGATGCTTTCGGAAATCGAATACTTTTATTTTTGTGTCACCAGGCGCAAAGTAAGACACAATTACAACCAAAAATTTTGGGTCCTCGACTGGAAAAGCGACAACCAACCGCATGAATGATTTCCCGGTGATAAGGCTTCACCGCTCAAAGGCAAACTAACGTCAAATGGTTCACTTCACCTCATGCATAGTTATATGAGCGAGCCAATCGTCCACTGGTTCACCGCTAACAATCATATTTGATGATGAGCAAGATAAAAAAATCGCTCTATCCCAACGAAGTACAGTTAGTGACCTAACTCATGAAATGTGTCGAAATTTACAAAAGATTGCCAATCACTCGCAAACCGACACCATTTCATGAGTCCTATGTCTATGCTAATTAAGTACAAGTTTAAAAGAATTAAAAACATAAAAGAAATACTAAAGGCAGTGTTGCGTTGTTTAGAAATACCGATTTCCTTAGAAAAGCGCAATATCCCGAAAACGTCATAAATGGCTCTTATTTACTGAACTTCGTTTTTAGATGTATAGAATGCATGTCCATACAAAAAACGTAGTAAATATGAAGGTAGAAATAAAAGAACGTCTAATAATAGTGTTCCAGTAAATGTTACATCTAAATATTGTCTAATAATTAGTATGATTTCATATATGACGTTTTGTCAACTGCCTACATTCTGAGTGTACATTCCAAAACAGTTTTCTAGTGTTTCGTGTTATCCTTGACTCGTCAGAATTAAAGGAGATAGTGTTCAACAAAAGAAACAAGATTTTGCTTGATTTCACCGATGTGGACATCGTAGGAACAAAAGTTTTCATAAGGTGACATGCTACGAAGCCAGTCGATGCCTAATAAATTTAAACAGAACTGACAGGCGTAATCTTATACAAACCATTTTATGTTTGTAGAGAGGACTTCTCTTCCGTTCAATTAATTTACACTTTTCGTTCGTACATGGACATTTGTAGACAAAATACCACATTAAAGCACTTCTTTAAGATGATAAGGTATAAGTTTTACAATTGATTTAACGCAGATTCACCACAGACCTTTATTAGGGTAGTTTATTTGCTGTCGGCAATGAGGTTTCATGTTTGAGCAGTCTGCAGATATGCTCGGGAAGTGTCATCTGCATGAAAGGTTAGGTCGAGAACTCACTTCTTCGGAATATCTTTTCAAGAAACATTATATTCCGTAGGGTTTGAGTTGGTCGCGGATGACTGTTCTGGGTGGTTGAAGGATGTGCGCCGATCGCGATACGGAAATCACTCGTCCCGTTGTGCCTTACGGGATCTCTCTTTTCCGAGCCCAACCTGCAGCCACACAGCAACGCGTACTATGGGCAGAACGACACTACCGACCAATACAGAGGAGGTCGGAATAACCAGTTGTGGCATATTAGGCGTTGTCAGCCAGTCGTACCCAACCCCGAAATGTGGAACGCATGGGGCTCGAACTCGCGGCCTGATAGTTAAAAGTCCAGCGTCCCTTACCACTTAAATACGGCTGTTTCTGGCTCGTTTATCGTCATCAACCAGTCGTAGTCAATCCTTAACTTTTGAAATAGCAGCCTGTTAACCAGAAGTCCATCGTCCGAACCACTGAATCACGAACTCGTTTCCCCATCGCTGTTTATGTCGACAGCGCCATTCAGTCTTCCGGGCGATCGACTAAGAATCCTGAAAACGGAAAAGTATTCGGCAATATTTCAGGTATTACCTGTAACTCAGCGGACTCAACCGTCGTCGAAGTCATGACCTAAGCTAACTGCAGAAAAGTTCGCTTAACACACAGAAAATGCTTTTTTTATTTTACACGGGAATTCTGTCAAAATTTACTACTCATTAGCTGGCCTTCCAACTGTCGAACTCATGGAAGCTTTGATTTTCGTGACGAAACACTTTTTGCTCTTATCCACCACCTCTCTAGCATCTCTGACAATAAGCCTTTAAAACGCAGTCAGACATTACGCACCTAAGAATTTTCCATACTGCACGCTACGGTAATGCTCGGAGAGCATTAACTGCACATATATATATTTAAAAAAGTACTTATTTAAAGTGTTACGGTGATTTTGTTGCTTAATTTACACAGTTATTTGCGTGAACAGACTAAATATTTTAGATGCTTGCGTTTACTCAACTTGCACGAAATTTCTTAAGCATACTTTTGATCGCAACTGTGGTAAACAAACCCCAGCCACCTGTAATACTGGACCGATGGTAATAGGGCTTTTAATGGGTGGGGCCGGGGAAGGAAAAGGCGACGAGGTCAAGTAGTTCTTTGCAAAAGAAAAGCTATTGGGAATGCGCGGTTGTACTTTTGGTGTTAGAAAAATAGTTACCCTAATTCCTTACCCTTACCCCAACACCTAACTCTTACCCCCAACTTTAGCCCCTAACCCCAACCCCAACAGTACTGTATCTATCAGGTGGGATTACAGAACCATATCTGACCTATAAACCATCTATTTTGCCTTCTCACTCAACACAACATCGCGCAATTTTAGTTTGGTATTTCGATGAATGCATTTTGAATGGCCTCCGATTGGCTAAAGACTATTCGTCAATTTAAGCATATTTCATGTGGTAGATCGTCTACTGTAGCTCGACACGTCTGCGAAAGTAACGTAGTTATTACAGTGACTCGTTGAGGGGATCACCCACAGTTTCCCACTCCTAACAAACACTACTACTTAAAAGAGTGGCAGTAGCATTTAATATAGGGAAAATGTGCAATTTGCAGTTCTGAAGAAAGAATAAAACAAACGGGTGCAGGTACATAGAGAGGAAAAAAACAACAAAGAGGAAAAGAAGAAAAAACAGTGAGAGGGGTCCACGGTTGTCCTACATTTCTTCGTTTCCTTTCGTTTTCTGTTAAAAAAGACAAAATATAGGTGAGAGGATCTGATCGATTGTGGACGAGAAGCCAACGGCGTAACAACTGGGTAATAGAACTTACCGACTCACTCTACGCCGTCCGTTTTGTGGCAACAAACCAACCTAGGGTGGCGCATAGTTCACATTGAAATTTAGATGAACAAGTTTTTGCTCATTTACAGTGGTGTTGAGTTCATGACAGTCTGCCCCGACGACTGCCTTCGCGGCAGCCTACTCGTGTGAACTCGTGGCCAATCGAAGTTGCGTTCTTCTCTGATTGGCTGCGACTGAGTACAGCTATAGCGCACGTGCGCACGTTCGCACGCAGTGGATGTTATGGATTTCAACAGTCGACATACGCATTGGATGACGGTTTAACAAAACTGTTTGTCGAGCCGCTTTTACGTGTTCTAGCTTCAATAGCGTTTGTCCATCTAACTGTTGTTCCTGTTTCGTGTTTTCGGAACCATTAAGTGGCCAACCAATCGGGCTTCGACAAAACCTATCCTAGCGAAGACGGAGATGAGTCGCTACACGGAACTGATTCGACTACCGGAAAATCAATAAGCCAGTATGAACCCACCCCCCCCCCTCCTGCCCACCAGTGACTATGTGGAAAAGAGCACCTTTCAGACACCAGCGACCTGCTTTAGGGCTGCCGGAATAGGAAACAAACATGACAAGAATGGTAGATCTATACGCTAATTGCTGTACGCCGTACAGACGACATTAATGTGCTCATTTGTTTCCAAAAATCGCAAGAGCCAAGGAGAGGTCAGATTGCGGTTTTGAAACTTTGTGCTGACTGACGGATTGCTACGCTATGTGAGGCTCATGTCCAGAAAGCATAAGCCAACTCTTTTTCCGTAGCAAATTGGCTGTCGGCCAGACTTACTCACATAAATCGGTGTTAGATTCGCGCACCAAAAGTGGCTAATTAATTAGCGTATATTCTTGCGTCGATTTTAGCGATCGAGGCTCATAGAGCTCAGAACCCTACACGCACGTTCGTGCACCATTTGGACTTCTTCGGACACACGAGTATTCAGTAAAGCGGTACTAACCCCAATGTCAACACACCTAACACATCAGACAACTTTCCCATCACCAGTCCAATCAACTCCATATCCACCAGCGCAGCTGCCGCTAGCAGTACCACAATGGTAACCAATTACATCCTCCAACCTATCCTGCTCACACTGCAACCGCAAATAAACCCCACTCACCGGCCTGGTCGGTCATTTGCGACTCCATCGCACAGAGACTGGCGAACCAATGTCTAGAACACAAACACATACCTAACACAGTCGTCTCAACCGGACGTGTCGGTCTTGCGTGGGTCCCTTCAGTCACATGCGCCTACATGAAAAAAACCTGCGGCAAAGCATTGCAGACACAAGCGCATAACCATAAATTCTTCCAGAACGCCAAAATTCTGGGTCGAGGCAATGACCGCGTAGCCAGGGAAACGATCGTGGCCTGGCACACGGAGACAACCTCAATAAACCGTTGTGTCGCCCTTCCGACAGCCTACCAAGCCCTCCGGACGCAGCTCAACGAACTAAAGAGCAAGCGGGAAGTCAGGCCGGACGTGAATCCAAACACGGGAGAGCCTACGACGGACCTACACGTAGCCACACCGCAAATCGGGCCCGACGAAGGCGCAGTCATCAATACTGTTGCCTCAGCTACTACTCCGGCAGACGGGGAGAAACGCGGTCAGAGGGATGCAATCAAGACTAGCAACCCAGCACGACAATTAAGGTCAACGCGAATGCGGGCAATGGCCACCAACGTTCAAATGCCGCCCTCCGACGAGAGACAGGCAGATTGACAGCAGTCACCCTCCCTCCCGCTCTGTCCCGGCGACTACAGAGACGATCCCTGTGCGTATGCGGGCCATTAGCGCCAAAGCCGATTAACCACCTTCTCCCCTCTATAATTACCACCGTGTTAGCATGACTGATATCTATCCCCATCCTATAAATACTGTGTGATGCCGTACGATACTCACCTCCGACGATGAAAGCTTGTCTGCTTTTGAAACGTCAGGACAATACAATCATGGTTCCCGAGATCGCCTCTTCTTCTCATTTATGTCCGGGGACTCGAATCTTCGCTTCTATTAGCAATATTTTCGGGCGCGAAGCGCTTGTGTCAGCACGACGTTGGGAAACCTTTACCCTTCGTGTGTCATCTACGTACGCGCAAATTCAATTCCTCCACAGATGCCTTGACAATCATGTGCTTCCGAAGAGCCTGTCTTACAAGCCACCGGTAAACACAAGTCTGGCGAAACGATGGGTGATGCAACACGGCAGGCGAATGATCCGGGCGCTCCTTCAGGACTGCCATCTTCGACTGCGGAAATATAAAGGGGTTCTGAGCCAAGCGATCGCTAAATGCACTGATCTCATCGGCGAAGACGGAACTATGCTGTTGAAACAGGCGATTGATAAACGGGCCAGAGAACTACGAGCACAACGAGATATCGAGCTGGCAGATGAGCTTCGAAATATCAGCCGCACGTTTCAGGAGGAGAACGACGTCCTAGTCCACAATCTATCCTCCAAAGAGCTGACTCCTGGACAACTAAAAGTGCTGAGTCACGAGGCCTGCTTCAATACCACAGACGCCGATCCGGTCAACCTCGTGGCAACAGTGGAATCGATTCTCAAACAAACCGAGGAATCCGACGAAACAAAACACCTCGTTCGGCAACAGGTAACTGCCTTGGTGATGGCCCACAAACCACGCGCAAATATCACCAGAACGGAACAGGATGCCCTCAAGAAACTGAGGGCCGACACGAGCATTGTAGTACTGCCAGCAGACAAAGGGCGTTCTACAGTTGTCTTGGACAAGACCGACTACATTCAGAAGGCTAACACCCTGCTGGATGATCGACAGGCCTACCTCCGATGTGATGATGAGCCGATGAGGAAGCTGCTGACGCAGTTGGACAAAACGCTCGCTGAAATGCAAACGAACAAAGTAATAAGCAAGTCGGTACGACTGGCCGTTAAACCAACAGATTCAGCCGCACCAAGGTTCTACGGACTGCCCAAAGTGCACAAGGTCGATGTCCCCCTCCGACCAATCGTGTCACTTCGCGGCGCGTCAACATTCAATCTGGCTAAATGGCTGTTCCGACACCTGAGGCCTCTCACCTCAGGCGCAACCACAACGGTCTGTTCAGCTACTCAGTTTCTGGAACGGCTCAGAGAGACGCGACTCACTGCAGACGAGGTCATGGTGTCATTTTACGTCACCTCTCTCTCTTCACTTCAATCCCGCAGGACCTGGCCATGGAAACGGTCAGCGAATTACTCGAGAGGCAGTATGACGAGACGGACAAGTCAGTGAAGCGGAGACATCTAGTCCAAATATTAAAGTTCTGCCTGAAGAAGTACTTCACCTTCGAGGGGACCATGTACGAACAAATTAAGGGGACGCCGATGGGATCGTCTCTCTCCGGCTTCATCGCTGAGGCAGTTCTGCAAAAACTAGAGAGCCTGGTTTTCACCACTCACAGGCCAACGTTTTGGACTCGGTACGTCGACGACACCTTCGTCATCATCAAGCGAGAAATGATCGAGGAATTTCACATCGTCCTGATTTCCGTCTTTCCTGACATCCAATTCACGATGGAGGCGGAAAACAACAACCAGCTGCCGTTTGTGGACGTTCTTGTCCATCGAAAGCCCAACGGGAACATAAAAACGACGGTGTACAGGAAGGCTACCAACACACGCCAAATCCTAAGCTATCACAGTAAACACCCGTTATGTCACAAACGCAGCTGTGTGCAGACTCTCTACAGTAGAGCAGAAACACACTGCAGCGAACCGGATGACAGAAGGACAGAACTCCGCTATCTTCAGCGCCTTTTCATTGCCAACGGATACCCCCGTAACTTTATCGAGCGCAGCAGGCTGAATAAAAAGCGGAGGTTGCGGAGAAAATTCCTCTCGGATAGGAGCTCTGTGTCGATAAATGCGTACAAAGCACAGGGGAACCTAGTTATGAGGTTACTCCTTGGGACGCGGCGTATTTTCCAGAAAGACCTACTGAATCTGGCCGCAGAAAATCCGAATTTATTCTATGGTTACATAAGAAGAAGCAAACGAAACAGAGATCCAATCCCGTTACTGAAAACTATTGACGACCTAGAACTCATTGAATACGGAGAAAAGGCAGAGCACCTTTCACAATTTTATAAGTTCATCTTTACGAAGGAGAGCACATTTCTCCCTTCCGACTGCGATATAGTGGACGGGCCAACAATCGTACACGTCTCTTTCGCCGAAGCTATTGTTCGCAAAGTACTGTTGAGCCTGAAGGAGTCCAAATCACCTGGGCCGGATAACATACCGCCGAAATTGTTGAAGGAGCTTGCTGGAGAAGTATCTAAACCGCTGTCCATGCTCTTCCAAGCTTCGTTCGAAGCAGGCTACTTGCCCGCCGATTGGAAATCCGCAAGGATCACGGTAATTTATAAAAACTGTAACAAGGTCTTAGCGAACAGCTACAGACCAATCATCCTTACTTCAATTTGCTGCAAAATTATGGAAAAAAATAATTAAGCGAGAAATAATGCACTTCCTAGAAGAGCATAATCTGCTATGCGATGCCCAGCATGGATTTCGTGGAGGCAGATCATGCGTGACAAATCTACTTTATTGTTTAGATTGCTGGACCCGGGCAGTTGATGGCGACAATGCAGTGCGCGCAGTCTACGTCAACTTTAAGAAGGCATTCGACAGTGTACCACATCAGCGTCTCCTGTACAAATTAAGCCGAACAGGCATAAGAGGTAATCTCCTGAGGTGGACACGATGTTTCTCGATCGGTAGATCTCAAATCGTCCTCGTCGGTGACAGGCAGTCGGTGGAGGTAGCAGTTGAAAGCGGTGTTCCGCAAGGCTCCGTTCGTGGCCCCACCCTGTTCATTATATACGTCAACGACTGCGTCAGTGAACTGAATTGTGATGTCGCCATGTTCACTGATGATGTTAAACTTTGGAGCGTCATCCGAACTGAATTGGACGAAGAGCGCTTGCAGGCAGACCTGACCCGACTCTAGAAATTGTCACAGGACTGGCTTCTGCCGTTTAATGTGACTAAGTGCAATGTTTTGCGTGTCGGCAGGACCCGATCTCAAAGCCTGAGGGTTTACTACCTAAATGGCGTACCACTGCAGGAGGTAGACGCCCAGAAGGACTTGGATGTGTGGCTAACGGCTTCTCTAAAACCGTCGCTCCACTGCTCCAAGATAGCCAAGTCTGCGATGTCAGTCCTTTATCTTGTCAAGAGAGCTTTCTCTACCTTCGATGAGGACTGCTTCGTTAAAGTCTTTCGGACTTTCGTACGGCCACAGCTAGAGTTCGCTATTCAGGCGTGGAAACCCTGGACCTCTAAAGATCTCAGCATCCTTGAGAAACTCCAAAGGCGGGCGACCAAACTAGTAAGTGGGCAGGGTTCCCTACCCTATGAAACACGTTTTTCCAATCTCGGACTTTTTCCACTGAGTTACAGACAGCTAAGAGGCGACCTTATACAAACATTCCGTATACTGCGCGGCCACGACTGCTGTCTCGTACCTGTTGATTTCTTTTAGTTAACAACCATAACGAACTTCCGAGGTCATCCACTTAAGCTACGCGTAACTGGCGCCAAGCTGGACATTCGGGAGTTCTTCTTTTCAAACAGAGTGATTGAGGTCTGGAATGCTCTGCCTACAAATGTCATCATGTCCACCTCCGTCGAGGCTTTTAAACGCAAGTTGGACCAGTTTACCACCAAACGTCATAATGCCACCTGACCGACAACGTCTAGCATTTCGTTCGAGCAATTTGTTAATGTTGTTATATTACTTCCTGTATTTCAGTAACGTTTGTTTTTTATTATTGTCCAATGTCTGTTAAATGTGTGTTGGCATCTAATTCGTCTCCCTCAGAAACTGTGATAGCACCAACTATCCATAGACAGACTACTGTACAGCACACTTAGTAACGCTAATGTTTTTAACTCTTGGAACTATTCGTTTATCTGTCTGGCTCGAAAACTTTACCAATCTGAAGACACTCTGTAGCTGTTTGATGTTTCCATTCCAACTTTTTGATATAGTTCGCTTCCTTGTAACAAATAGGGAGTTCAAAGGTTCAACACCTATATTTCCCTCAAATAAACTGAACTGAACTGAACCCGCTGGTTAGAAGCCTAGCGTCCTAACCACTGAGTCACAGGCTCGTTGCCCAGCGCTCACCGCGAGTTTTGTCCACGGTTAGGGTTTTTATGGCTGATGTTTTTTGTAAGGGTTGGCGTTTATCGTGAGGCCACTTGTAGTATTGATCGCAGTAGCTGTGAGATTCCTCCCTGGGATCTATTTCGAACGCCGTCTGTCAGGTGGCCAGCAGCGTCCTCTTCGACAGTACCTGTTCCAGGCATCATTTCGTCTTCTGTTTCCAATGCCTTTTTTTCCACAGCAGAGACGTTCTAAAACAAAAAGGGAGTACGCAGCAGTTCCAAGGGAGTGGATTTTGCCTTCAAAGCAGCTTGTCGATTATAAGGTGTCGAGCCAATCCTATGAGACCAGTTTCCACTGTCATGGATAGATAGATACAAAAAATGTTTTGCCGTCAAGATGTTTTAGGGATCATTTTAATCTATTAACAGCTTCCGTATCTACAGTTTGAAGGCAAATAAGGGATGTTACTTTTAGTGCATGTGAAGTCAAACGAGATTTTACAAGAAAATTTTCCTAGCTGATGATTAATCATTCACAAAGCTCAGGTTTAAGGTAATCGTTTACAATGGTGGCGGGAAATTGAATAACTCATAGTCCGATTGCGGGAGTTGAACGAATGAAAACTGCGCAGTGGTCTCAGGTTTTTTCGTCCCTACAGTCCGCTTCGTGTATCCTAAGTCACTAACTATGTGTTTTAACGAAAACGGGACATCTGTGTTGAGTAGATGCGCCTTCTGGAAACCACCGACACCACGACCATCACCACCACCACCATCATCACCACCACCACCACCACTTTGAATTCATCCTTCCACTGTTAAATCTTAAAGACTCCATCTTACAGCCACCATGTTCTCGAGGAGAGCGGCCAGCCGATCGGGTCTTTTTGACTTGGCCTCCTCCACCGATTCCAGCTTTTCGGCCATGGCACGTATACGTTCCGTGACAGTCCTGAGACAGTTCTCCAGCCTGATGAGTCGAGAAAAGGCCTGGTTCACTTCCTCCTTGCTGGCTGTTTTGTCCGCAAAAAACTTGGCTACCTGCTCAAAGGACTGGCCCAATTGTGCTTCCTGGTAATTCACCATGTCTTGAATTATTTCCATCTAAAAACAAAAGTTGACGAAAATGCAGTTATCATTTCCGGTTGCGTCAATGAAGTCAATTGGGAAAAAAACTGACAGCGTAAGTGGTCGCAGTTGATGGCATTCTAGCCATAGCTTAGGTATGTAGATTTTATCAGATTTGCAAAGTTGAGAGATCCGGGAAGATTATTTGAAGAAGAAAATAGGCTCTCCGGAACGGGTTTATTTAACAGCTGACGTTTAAAAAAGCTGGGTCGGCTCTTCATTGTTAAAGCGAAAAATGCACTTAATAGATCAGAAATTTAATTTAAATTGGCATCTGGTGCTGGTCGGCTTTATGATGATCGATTTTTCTCTCCTCTCGCGACTGTTACAACCCACCAGAATAGACATAACCCATCGATCCCAAGCAACAATTCGAGGTGGCCTGATGCAACCCAAGGACCCATTGCCACCCGCTGAAACCTCAGCAGTCATCTACAAAATAAATTGCAATGGGGGCGACTGCAACTATGTGGGCGAGGCCGGGCGGAAATTGCAAACCCCCCTGCAAGAGCACAAATCGGCCACTCGGAGGTTAGACCCTAACTCTCAACGAGCAACCCACGTTGGAGAAACAGGGCATACTTTTGACCTCCAGAGAGCTAGCATCTTAGGCCGAGGTAACACAAAAGCAGAACGGCTAACTCTCGAGGCGTGGTTCTCTGATGCCCACTCTATCAACAGGCATCTGGACCTTCCTGCAGCATACAAAGTCCTACGTCATCACAATAGTAGGGCTCAGGACCAACCGACCACACCGGACTTAAGAAGGCCCTACGGAGATAGCCTGAAGCTGAGTTTACTCTGTGAGGAAGAACAAGAACCGCCAAACCGATCGCCCGACAAAGGTTCAGTCAGCTCCCCTCGACGGAGTGGTGACCCACAAAGCACACAGGCAAAACGTCCGTCCACCATCTCCCGAGAGGCTGCGACAGCGAGAGGAGAGAAAAAACGATCAGCATAAGGCTGGCCAATATAACATGCCACTTTAAATTAAATTTCTGATCGATTAAGTGCATTTTTCGCTTTGACAATGAAATGCCGACCCAGCTCTTTGAAACGTCAGCAGTTAAATAAACCTGTTCCGGAGAGCCTATTTTTTTCTTCAAACAGATTTTATCAACCAGCTATTATCGAGAGGAAGTGGTCAACCGGCTGGGCTTTTGATATTCTGAATCACGCGTCCTCGCTACTTAATATTCTGCATTTGGTTCCCACAAAGGCTGGCGCTGCAGATGCGGTGGACTACAACGGGTTCCAGACTGGTCCCAGGCGTTCGTTTATCGGACCGCAATGGGTCCACGAGAGCCCATGACTACTGCCGAACGTAAACGCCTAATCGGTTGCTGCGTCCAATTCCCCGGCAGCTGACTGGCAGTCGGCTGATGCACGAGGGAGTGGAAAGCGGGTGTGCCCGACATTAAAGAATCCACTCCCACAGCAAATCAGCGTATTTCTCACTGCGACATATATAAAGTAAGTGGGCTAACTCATGAAATGCTGGCCGAAATTCCCAAATGCGTTTTCGTTTCGAAAAGGTTAGTTAGGTATGGTTGTAAAACCAATCATCATGCAGCGTAATTCTATAATAATTCAGTTACTATCGGATGCCAGCGTTCGAAAGAACTTCCTTTTGGCTGCATGCAAAAACTACATTCTGTAAAAAATGACTACTTACGTAGCATGCATTTTTATTGCATTTCGATTCCCTTAAAGATTTAATTATGTTTTATATAAAACATGCATAAAAATATTTATTCTTTTGCTCATTCAATAGAAACTTACGTCTTAGTTCAGTGTTATACTCAAAGGAAGGGTATAATTTGGTTTTATAAAGCTTTTCCAATTCCCGAATAATTTTGCACCCGATCTGTCGTTACATTTGCATTCAGAGTTCTAAAACTGCAAGCCGTATAATTTCCGAGTATGGAAAACCATACATTTCCTAACGGTAGCAAGAGGAGACTATAGGAGGTTCATAAAATTAAACAGTAGATCTAAGCACCCTTGTTTACTTTACAAACCACGTTGGTAAATGCAGATAAATGACGTTTTATGAAAGGCCATTTCATGGTATTGAAAAATCTCACAAATAAAAACTTTCTTAAAACCGAATTATACTTATCCTTTGAAAGTAACATTGAAAGAAGACGTAATTTTCTACTGAATGACCAAAAGAATAAATATTTTATGCCTGTTCTCCATGAAACAATGCATGCTACTTAAGTAATCGTTTTTTACGCAAATGGTTTTTGGATGCAGTTGGAAAACAGTTTGTTCGATAGCCGACCTCCTGCGGTAACTGAATTAGTATAGAATTATACTGCGGACTGATCAGTTTTGCAACCCCACCCAATTAATCTTTTCGAAACGAAAAGCATTTCGGAATTCCCGTTGAAATTTCATGAGTTAGCCCACCTTCTGTATGTGACCCATTTGAGAATGCTTCGACACACTCAGAGTCATGGCTTCAAAGGCTGCCGACTCGATGGACAGGGAGTCACACTGCAGTGACTTCTTCACGATCTGGCCTCTATGGCACGCTCACCCTTATGAGATCTCAGCTGCCCTGACAAAAGCGCGGTAAGTGTAGTATGGATCAAGTCCTATGCAACATCTGCAGACAGGCTGCTGGGTTGTCTCAGCCATCGTTCCCGAGTCAACCTCCAGCTATTCTAAAGTTGTCTAGGCATTGGAGCAAGGCGGATGGAGGAGGAGTGTGTGCGATAGTTGCTGTGCGAGCCTTCCCTACCATAAATTAATTTGCACACGCGTTTCTGACACCGCGTCCACTTCGTGGGGGCACGCCGTGCACGTCGTTGTCTGCTACTTTCAAAATGTTGTTTGCGACTGTGTGCACGCTCCTACTTCGAGCGCCGAGTTTCATTAGGTGGGCTAACTCACGAAAAGCCGACCGAAATTCCGAAATGCGTTTTCGTTTCGAAAAGTCTTATTAAGTAGGGTTGTAAAACCAATCATCATGCAGCATAATTCTATAATAATTCAGTTACCTCAGGATGCCGGCTTTTAAATGAACTTCCTTCCGGCTGCATGTAATAACTACATTCTGCAAAAAATGACTACATAAATTGCATGCACTTTTCTCATTGATTTTCGATGTCCCTAAAAATTCAATCATACTTCATAGTAAACATGTATATAAATATTCATTCTTTTGCTCATTTTGTAGAAAATTACGTCTTTTTCCAACTTCATACTCAAAGGAAGGGTATAATTCAATTTTTGAAAAGGTTGCTAATTGGGAGACTTATAATACCGAGAAGTGACCGTCCATAAAACGTCATTAACCAATGTTTACAATATGGCTCAAATTCACTGATAAATTTTATGAATCCCATATATTTTCCTCTTACCACCGTAGAGAAATGAATGGTTTTCCATACGCGGAAAATATAAGGCTTGTGGTTTCGAAACCCTGAATGTAAGTTT